CATGGAATGATTCTAATCCATGTACGATACTCACTATGTATTATATTCTGTCTTCATGGAATGATTCTAATCCATGTACGATACTTACTATGTATTATATTCTGTCTCATGGAATGATTCTAATCCATGTACGATACTCACTATGTATTATATTCTGTCTTCATGGAATGATTCTAATCCATGTACATTACTTACTATGTATTATATTCTGTCTTCATGGAATGATTCTAATCCATGTACGTTACTTACTATGTATTATATTCTGTCTTCATGGAATGATTCTAATCCATTTACGATACTTACTATGTATTATATTCTGTCTACATGGAATGATTCTAATCCATGTACGATACTTACTATGTATTATATTCTGTCGTCATGGAATGATTCTAATCCATGTACGTTACTCACTATGTATTATATTCTGTCTTCATGGAATGATTCTAATCCATGTACAATACTCACTACGTATTATATTCTGTCTTCATGGAATGATTCTAATCCATGTACGATACTCACTATGTATTATATTGTGTCTTCATGGAATGATTCTAATCCATGTACGTTACTTACTATGTATAATATTCTGTCTTTATGGAATGATTCTAATCCATGTACGATACTCACTATGTATTATATTCTGTCTTCATGGAATGATTCTAATCCATGTACGTTACTTACTATGTATAATATTCTGTCTTTATGGAATGATTCTAATCCATGTACGATACTCACTGTGTATTATATTCTGTCTTCATGGAATGATTCTAATCCATGTACGTTACTCACTATGTATTATATTCTGTCTTCATGGAATGATTCTAATCCATGTTCGTTACTCACTGTGTATTATATTCTGTCTTCATGGAATGATTCTAATCCACGTACGTTACTCACTGTGTATTATATTCTGTCTTCATGGAATGATTCTAATCCACGTACGTTACTCACTGTGTATTATATTCTGTCTACATGGAATGATTCTAATCCATGTACGATACTCACTATGTATTATATTCTGTCTTCATGGAATGATTCTAATCCATGTACAATACTCACTATGTATTATATTCTGTCTTCATGGAATGATTCAAATCCATGTACATTACTTACTCTGTATTATATTCTGTCTTTATGGAATGATTCTAATCCATGTTCATTACTCACTATGTATTATATTCTGTCTTCATGGAATGATTCTAATCCATGTACATTACTTACTATGTATTATATTCTGTCTTTATGGAATGATTCTAATCCATG